GGCCTTAGGGTCCCCATCTGGGAAATGAGAACACTGGACTCACTTATCTGATACTCAGCCAGCTTGAGTTCGAACCGCCTCGCTTGGCACACAGGCCTCTCCCAGCTTGCTCCGACCCACCTGCCCCCTCGTACCCGCAGCCACACCCCTCCCTCCCAGGACGGGGCATTTAACCGTTTGCTCTTCCCTGAGACCAGAGGTGCTTCGCACCTGCACCCGGAGGAACCCTCCCCCGCCCTCTCACCAGGCAAACTCTCCCTTGCCCTTCACGATCCACCTCTGTCTCCTCCCGCACCTGCTCCAAACACTCCCCTTTCAGTCCTAAGCAGACGCGTTCCTCCCTCGGGCGCCGCTGGCATTTCCCGAGAGCCTCACGTGCACCCAGGAACTCTGTCCAGACTGGGGTCAGACACCTGGTTCTCCTCTTGCGTCCCTGTCACCAGGCCGGATGGACTCGGGTGACCCATCGCATCTCTTCTCAGAGGGTGAGACAGCTGGAGAAGGTGATCGTCAGATTTGGTCACCTGGAGGCCAAAGTCTAGGCATTCACTCAGTAAGTCTGCAGGACTGTGTTCTTCTCTCCCCAGGTTCCCAGAAGGACCCACGGCCCTGACTGCTGGTCCGTATCACACAGCACTGCCATGTAAGCGGGCCAGGGTCTCACAGCCTCTCGCACCTGCCCCTGGGAAGAGCCAGGATGTCTGCAATGACACCACCGTCGTCCTGGAGCTGTGACTCTCAGTGCTCGGAGGACAGTGTGCTCACTCCGCGCCAGGCACCGCTCGCTTCACACTCACGACACTCTGTGGGGTGGGTGCTATCATTACTGCCATTTTACAGGCAGGTAAGTGAAGCACAGAGACTCTGTGCGCCTTGTCCAAGGAGGCCCAGCGTGGATCCACGACCGATTCCAAAGCCGGGCCCTGAGCACGTGCCACGTTGCCCCCCGGCCTGGGCCTCGCTGACGTTCCCCCAGGCAGCTCCTCGCCGTAGCAGAGTTAAACCAAACCCCCATCCGTGCCCGGCAGCGTCCCAGCCCCGCACCAGCCCTCACTCGTCGGGAGAAGCTGAGTCTCGGGCTGAGGCCTGGGCTGCACCAACACGCCTGGGGTTGCCCGGAGCTTCCCCCGCCAGGCAGAAAAGACTTGCGGAAGGACAGACGTGCCCCTGGGAGGTGTGGGGCCTAATTTAAGTCCCTAAAGCAACAAGATTCGAAGTAACAACAGCAACAAAGTAACAAGAAGAAGAAAGGGAAAAAAAGGTGGCTCTGGGGCGGCTGGCTCTATCTGCTCTGCTAACTTGCAACGAAATGTTGGGTTTCTATGGCTGCTTGGTAACACTCGAGAAAAAAGGCTTATCAGTGAGCCTGTAGTATGTTTGATTCCCCTCTCCCCCCCGGAAATCGCTTCCTCTGATGGCTCTAACCGGGGGCTCCCCGCAGAGGGGCCGAAACGCACCCGCAGACGCTGTTCGTGCCAAGGAAGCTGAAGGGTCCACTTGAGACTGAACCTCTAACGGCCTCTCTTCTTGCAGAATTTCATGCTTGTTTGGAAACCTGCCTGACTATGAGACCGTGTCATCTGGTGTACGGCCACCCTGGCACGGCGAGCCATCGCCGGAGGGCGGCTCTCAGCAGCACAGGAGATAACTGAGAATTCAAAACAAGCCAGAAAACAATGTAAAAGTGTCCACGAACACACAAACAGGGACGCGATGTCACACGGTACCTCTGAAAACACAGACTCTGTCAGAAGTGCCACAGGGAGTGCCGCCCCCGTGACTCTGATTTCGCCACAGGAAGAAAGAGATACGACGTCTTTCCCACAGCGCTCCTGCCCGACTGTGGTTGGGAGAGATCCCGCTGGTGACTCGAGACCTGGGATCAAAGCCGCAAACTCCAGCTGAAGCGACGCCGTTGAGCTCAGTTCGGTTTTCACACGTGCTGACGATCCCTAAATGATATTGTAGCCCCTCCTGCTTTCACAAGGAACCCCATCGCCACGGCAACTGGAACATGCCACCAGAAGTTTTCCTGTAAACGGGGCTAGGATGCCGCCGCGTCTCCCCTGCAGTGTGGTGAGGGCTGTGGGTCCCCGGCCAGTCCTCAAGAGCGACCCTCCCCGCCGTAGCTCGGGGCTCTGGCCACAGAAGGCGTGCCCCAGACCGCGGCGGCGTGGCCCCACGCTCCGTCTCCTCGGTGCCCTGTTCTACACGCTCCAGCCCCACAAGAATGGCCTCCTAGTCACTTCCGGGGGCAGACAAAGTCCCAGAGAGTGAAGTCCTAAATTCTCTTTGTAATGTTTGGTAGAAATGGAGAATAGAAGACAATTTTAGAATTTTTGTTTGCACGGCAAAAAAAACGTGGTTTTGTTTTCTGTATTAATAATTCCCTGGAAATTTGGGACACAGACAAATTGTCATCAATGGGACTCAAGCCGGTGTTAAATATTCTGCTGCCCTATGGGACGCGGGCTGCGGGAGCTGTTCTTGGCGTCTTCTGCGATCCCTGCACCCTCCCGGCCTCGCTCTCCACAGAGCCTCTGTCACCTGTTTCCTCTGCTTCCTGCTGGAGCCGGGGTTCTGGTGACAGTGATGTGCTCACCCCAAAGCACCTGCTCTCCACCCACCAGGGCCCTGCCACCGTGTGCCGGGCACTCCCCATGGCCATGCCAGGGGAGGGGGGCAGCCTGGCTCTCCTGTCAGCCACACTGGGTCTGCGGCTCCGGAGGCCTCTCCGTGGCGTCCAGACCCACGGGACCTCTGCAGAAGAGAAGCCCGAGCCCCAGGTGGGCCCCTCCAGGACAGCGTCAGGTCTGACACTCAGCATCTTCCTCGCTCACCCTCCACCTACCGTGAAGCCATCTGGGACCTGAACCGTCCCCCTAAACCTCCTGGGTGGAGCCCTGGTTCCCACCTCTCTGCTCCACATTGGGGCAGATACATACCGACGGCTGGTGTCGTTAACACCGAATGCTCGCGACACGCCAGCTGCCGTGCGGAGAGGTGCTCGCACGGCACCTCCCTCGCTGCCGTCCAGGCAGGGGCAGGTGGGGGCTGCGCCCACTGAGGAGAAGGCCGAGCGCAGCAGAGCGAGGACCCCAGGCCACGCGGCAGGGGGTGCCGGAGCTGGCACGCGACCCTCCGTCTCTGTGGGAGCTCACAGGGACGAGGGGCTTAGGGGAGCAGCTCTGCTACACGAGGGGGTGGGAACCCGCAGTCTGTGACGCACCCGAGGATTCCGAAGGATTTGGTGGATAAATTCAATCAGCGTGAAGCAGAACCGAGCCCCGACACGCTCGACGCGCCAGCCCCACGCCAGCCCACCCCCAGCGCGCCTCCCCCAGCGGGTGTCGTGGCGGCTGGGGTCCCCTCGCGTGAAATGAGAGACGCCGTTTGAGTCACCGATGGCGAGGGAGCCTGCGTGCTCTGATGCAGACACAGAAACATTTGGAGAGACGCAATCTGGGGGATATTGGAAACCGGAGAATGGAATACCAGTCTAGAAAATTCAACACGGCCGATAAAGCTGCAGCGACCGGCCGAGCGTTTTCGTGGCACGGTCGCCGAGGACCCGGTGGTGGGCGCTGGGCGGCGCGTCCCAGCCGGGGGTGTTGTTGCCTCGGCTCATTGCGGCCTCGTTTCCATACCGTGTCTCACGCGCTCCGAAGCACCTCAGTGTTCGCGTCACAAGCGCAGCTGCGCAAGCGTCCGAGACCGTCCGCACACGGGACAAAGGCGCCTTTCCAGAACTCCGCGCTGCCCGGGGCCCTGCGCTGCCGCGGCTGCTACGCGAGGTCGGGGAGCAGCCCCTGCCTGGGTGCAGGGGGCACGGGCATGGGCCGGGGCCGGCACACCTGCACGGCACTGCTCGGGCCGTCAACACCCACGTGCACACGCGTGTCAGGCGTCACGCATGCTCAGGCTGGGAGCCTGTGAGACTCAGGCTGCAGCTCCGTCCTTTCCTCCCTGTGCCCAGCCCTTCACAGCTCCGACCGCTCCGGGGCCCTCGCCGGCCAGCGCCGCGGCACTGACCAGGTCTCTATCCCAAGCTTCCTCCCTCCGCTCTGCCCCGCCCCAAAGCAGGTCTCTGGCCTCACGCAACCCCGGGTGGGCTCTCCCGCCTCCAGTGCCCCTGCTCAGTCTCTGTGGGCCGTTCCCACCTGCCCACAGGCTGCTTCTGCCTTGTATGTCTCCTATTCATTCACGGGTGCCCATTTTTCTCCAGATAATAAATACCTCTGCAGGCTGCAGCATGTGCTATTCACTGGGGCCACACCTACGCAAGAATGTGCATGCTAACGCCTGCATCTCCGAGCATCTGTGAGCCGCCCTGCACCGTCCTCGTTGGTGCGAGGCACCCCGCTAGGTGCGGGGAACGTACCAGTGTGTAAAGCAGCCACGGCCCCACCCCGCGGCTCTTACCATCAAGTGGGAGCAGGTGCTGCCCTTATCTTCGGACCCAACCCCAGCACAAAGCACGGCCCCCTCTGGTGCCAACTCCACGACGTGCCGCGATGGCCGAGGAAGGGCTTCCTTGCCTTGCTCGGGGTGTGGACGGGCAGGGCATGGAAAGCGTTTCCATCAGCAACCGCTCCAGGCCAGAGTTGGTGCCACTACCACGCCGGGACCACGGAGCCGTTGTCCGTCTGGCCACAGTCTGTGCACAGCACGGCCTCCTGAGTCGTGGGACTCCGTGCAGACGGGTAAACATGGTCCCTGTCACCATCCCACAAGGGCCTAGCCTATGTGGAGACCAGGTGAACGCCTTGCTGTCTGGTCCCGAAAGGACACATGAGCAGCGCCAACCAGGGTTGAGTTCGACCTCCCCGGATTCAGACGGAAGATGCGTCACTGAAATGCCACCGTGGCCGTTTGTCACACACTGGTCTTCCTCTTTCTTTATTTCCTTTACCACATGCAACCTGCAGACCCAGCACCCGGCTCACTGCCCAAAGCGCACTAGAAGATTAAAAGCACAGGACAGGGAGCCCTCTTCCTACCTTTGAGGAAACAGTCCTTGCCGTGGACGGCGACGATTTTCTTCCCCAGCAGGCAGGCGGCGCGGTGGAGCTCGCAGTGGTTTTCGTAAAACCTGCCGTCGGAGCCGCACACGGGCACGTAGCTGGGCCTGCAGGCCTCCAGGCACCGGCACGCCGGCCGCCCCGTCTCGCTGACGAGCACACACCGGCTCCCTCGGCCGCAGAACTTCTTCCCGCAGGAGGCCGGCAGCCCGCCGTGGCCGGAAAGCCCTGCCAAGCACACAAACACGGAGGGTCAGCCGCGAGCGCTGGGGGGCAGGGGTTCCAGGCTTCCCCAGGGGCTCGCAAGCAGAGGCCCCATTTGCCTGGGAAGCTGGGGCTACCCAAGGGGGGGCTTGCGGGGCTTGGGGTCCCCGACAGAGTCCCTGTCTCTCCAACAACAGGCTACCACTGCTACCGAGAAGGGCGTCCGAGGGCGTCCTGCCGGGCAGAGCTCAGGTTTTACGGCTGACTCTCTCCGCACTCCTCAGGTATGACACCTACCCATCCCGGGACCCAAGGAGGGCTTTGGATGAGCTCTTTTTAGCCTCTTTCTAAGGCTCACTGTTCCTGCCGCCAATTGAAAACTGAAGACACCCGGCCATTCTGTGCTCACAAAGAGGTGCCTCCTGCCAGAGGACAAAGCCGGCCACCACCGTCTCCAGGCCCGAGACAGCCTCCTGGACTGAGGAGCCTACGGAAATCGAGGACTTTCTACAAAAGGGGTTCCCTCCCCCTTTCCTTCCTTCCTTCTGTTCCTTTATCCCGTGATGACGCTGGGCCGGGCTGTGTGCTAGGAGCCCCAGGGTCCCAGAGATGAAGGAGTCCTCTCTCCGACCTTCTCATTCTGTAAGGTGACGACACCCATGCAGGTTTAACTCTGATCTGAGACCGAGTGTGACCAGGGCCACGAGGCAAGGTCAGGCAAAGAGCTACGGGGGCCAAGGAGCTGCTTTTTAGGGAAGTGAGTGGGGCAGGGGTCGTGGAGGTGGAGACGGAGAGGAGGAGGGCTTTCCCAGAGACACAGGGGGACTGGGCCCGGCTCTCCCAGCTGCCCTGCAGGTGGCATTTGCCATCTCTGGTAGGAGCCCAGATGTGCTGCACGGGGATGGGGTAGGAGAGGCAAGGCGTGGTCCTGGGAGACAGAGGGCCGGGCAGAAGAATCTGGACATGATCGTGTAGGCACTGGGGAGCCACTGCAGAGCATAGGGAGCGAGTGTGGCATGAGAAGAAAGCAGTGCTAGGGGTCTGGGAGGGGGTGGGGGACAGCGTAGGCAGGGAGGCCAGAGGCTGGCCTTTTCCTCCGGAGAGAACACGGTTCTCCTCGGCACACAACACAGCAGAGCTACCGGCGGCCTTTCCTCCCTCCGGTCCTTTCCAGCGCAGTGTGTGGCTGTGGGCAGGAAGGCCCTATGCATGGTGGCTGTCACGTTGCTTGTTTGTCCCCTGCACCCACCACACCCCCACAGTGATCCCAGGCAGGGGCGCCCGGAGAGCACAAGCGAAGCGGGCAGGGCGGCGGGTATCTCCGAAAGGGCGCACGCGAGTGGAAGGCCAGACAGGCCGCTGCGCTCCACGCCGGGAGCCCGGAGCGCGAGATGATTGGCAGGCGTCACCGACGGCGACAGACGGGAAGTTGGGAATTACACGGGGACATCCAAACACAAATAATCAAAATGTGAGTGCAGATTTTACGGCCACAGAAGACTTTGCTTTCAGTTCTAATTAAATCTTTGTCAGAATACAAGACAACACGGCCCTGGTCGTCAAGACTGAACTTTCAGCCCCTGCTCCTACCCTGCGGGGTTAAAATCTCTAAGGAAAAAAAAAAATCTTCTTTTTCTTGTTTTTGGTTAAGTCTGCTTTTCATCATCATAGATTTGAAAGGAAAAAAAATCAGTTATTGGCAGATTAACTGCTTGATTCAATGATTCAGTTAAATTCCTCCAGCCTTGGCAAGCTAAGAAGTATTGATTTTTCTGGAACCCTAATAAACTAGAAGGTTGAAATATCTCTGAGCAGCGTATAAGCGCAGATCCTAAGTGAGCGTGAGTCTCTTTTATCCACTTTGCTAATTGTCCGTGTGTCGCCGTGCAGGCCCGCTGGCGTTCGCGCCCCTCTGCCGCCTTCCCGCCACGGCTGACGGCGGTGGGGGGCTGGCAGGGAGGGAGGGAGGGCAGGCCCTGGCAGGGGGGGCTCCGGGGCAGCAGCCCAGCTCATGGCATCTGTGCTGCTTTGCCATAGAGCGTGTTTGATTAGCACGATTCTCCTGGGTTGTTAGAAAATGGGTTATCCTGGAAAGTGCTGGAGGCTACCAGAAGAAACTAACACAGCTCTGAAAATATCCGCCTTTGTTTCTTTCCCAAGATAGGGCCTGGACACAGAGCCTCACCACTGGATCCCTGTTTTAATAAACTTCCCGCGCAGATTGGGCGGGAACCCCGACCACCCCTGCTCAAGAAACAGAGGCTGAATCTCAGCTCTGGCCTCTCAGAGCCCGCTTCGCGCTTTTTCTCCGGCTGTCCCTCCAACGCCCCCCGTTTCTCTCTCCCTCTGGCCGAATCGGCTCCAATGGACCGCTGGGGCCATTTCTTCCGCCAGGTGCTCACTGCCAGCTCGTGTCCAAGTGTCCCCTCTCTGAGCCCCTACTGCAGCGTCTGCCCCATGCTCCGCCCCACTCTCTGCCTCAGGAGGCCCCACAGGTGCTGGGTCTCTGTCCTCACGTGGCCCCAGTACGCTCAAGTTTTAAGAAACACAGGGTTTTAAGAGCTGATCTCCATAAGGCTGCCTTAGTGCAGCTCGCAAGCCAGGGGAGGGGCTGGCATGGGGAGGGGTGGGGGCCCCACATGCGGTGACCTTCAGGGGGCACCTTCCCCTTGCCTCCTCCAAAGGGGGCAGAGGGAATGGAGGGACAGGGTATGAGGGAGGCGGGTGTCCAGGAGGGGCCTTCTGGGGTAACGGAACTAGAACCTGGGGAGGCAGAGCAGGAAGGGGCTGCAGAGACCACCTGATCCAGCCCAGGCCATCCAACCAAAGCCAGCTCACGGTGGGTTGGGAGAACCCGCTCTCCCAGTCCTCTCCTGTGAAACTCCGGTGTGCCCAGATCCCAGCGAGCGCCTCTGAGGACCAGCACCACACGGGGCCTCCGACGCCCACGCTGGATTAGCTGGCGGCTGCGACTCCCACCGCCTTCCCCTAGGCTGTGCTCCGAGGGGTCAGTGTTAAGAAAACACCTGCGCCAACCTGTGGCCGCAGAAGTTGTCAGGAACACTCAGGTTCTCTCTGACGTGGAAATCGGCTGTCAGCAAATATTTGATTCCTAATTACTTGCAATTAAGACGAAAGTAGCTTTAAACCCTGCATGTGCCCCTCACAAAGGCGTTGACAGCTGGCCCCAGGGAGAGCTGGGAACACCGGGGCAGAGGCAGGCCGGAGTCCGATCCACGGCCTCGCAGACGCTGACCCAGGGGTGGGGTCCTCATTAAACACGCCCCCGTGTCACCAACTTCCTCCTTGTCACTAACACAGAATGAATTCCCCACTCCCACCAGGACGATGATAAAATCGTAATGGGAAAGGTAACCGAGCGAGACCACCGGCAACTGCCGACGGTATTTATGAGGACTACCGTGATGCGTGAAAAGATATAATGTGCTTAATTTATGGTCGTAAAGAAAGCCGTTTACCCAGGTTAAAAACTGATCATCTTGCCAAATAAGCTGCTTTTCAACACTAATTAAATCTACCAAACACGGTGAGAGATGGGAATTGCTACATTGAAGTTATGGCGGCAGGAGACACAAGTCCGTTTGCACCAGTTGGTGCTAAAGGCGCCCTCTGTGGTTTGGATGCGGACTCTCGGTAAGAATGTCACCGACTCGGGGCTGCGGTACAGGTGGGCGGTGGTGGGACCGCGGCAGGCGAGCCCTCCGGACCCCGGGGGAGGGCACGAGGGACCTGGATCCTGAGACGGGCGACAGAGGGAGGGGCAGCCTCCCCACCGCCGGCTCACGGCGACCACGTCTGAGGATGGCTCTGCTTCCAGACTCTGCCTCGGTCTCTGTGACGGGCTCCTTGGCCCAGAGTAGACCCGAGAGTGCCCCCCTCTCAGGGACGGTGCCCCAGAGGACGCAGGAGGGAAGACCTGGTACTTTTCCACTTGGGGACGCTAACCGCCTGCTGGCCTGCTCTGCCCAGCGCAAAACTTGCGTGAGTCCGAGAACTCCCCTTCTGCTTACCGTTGACGGGACCCTCCCCGCCGACCTTTCCTTTGACGAGGCCTGGGGGGTGACCCCCTGTCTCAGTCGGGGGTCCTCCTCGGCCTCCTCCTGCAGCTGCCAGCGCCCCCAGCAAAGGACGTGGGGCTGAATCCCCACAAGCTTGCCCCCGCCACTGTGAAGCCACAGGGAGGAGACCGCTGGGCCCTGGGGAGGCTGCTCACTGCAGAGCCCGCAGCGGGCTGAGAAACGCGGCCGCGCACGCGGAAGGCGAGAGGCAGGCGCACGGCACCAAGGACCTCGCGAACCTCGCCCGCTGCTGCCACGGACCCCCGCCCGGCACGGCAGCTGCCTCAGCTTCTGCGGACACAGACACTCGTTCAGCAGCCAGGTGCCCCCCCCAGGCAGACACGCCCCACACGGGGATTGCTCCTTTGTCTTTTATCGGGGCATCCACACTGATCACCGGGGAGCTGTGGCCCCGCCTCGGCTTGGGGTCGGCTTAAGGCCCAGAGCTGAGGACCTGCCCGCGGAAGAGCCACCTGTGCAGAGACGGGCAGGTAGGTAGGGCGTGGGCCCAGGGGCTGCTCATGGGCCCAGTGCTCCTCCCCGCTTCGAGACAGCTCACGCTCTCGGACACGCCCAAGGTGGTCCAGAGACAGAGCGCTGTTCAGGGCTCACCCCCGGGTTGCAGGGACTGCCCAAGTGCCTCCTGCGCAGCTGCAGAATTCGGGTTTGTGTGGGAGCCAGGCAGAGGCCGGCTCTCCGGTCTGATGCCACCTCTACCCCCAGGTGAGGTGGGCAGTGTCGATGCGTCACTTCAGGAGTTCTGCCTGCCAGCCCCCCACCCACTCAGGAAATACCCACTGAGCACCCACCATGCACCAGACCCGACTAGGGTGCTGGGGACAAAGACAGGACAGGGTCCCGTCCTCAGGCACTTGCACTGCGGTGCAGGAAGACACGGAGAGTGAGCCGACAGACAAGCGAGACGAATGTGCACTGTGCCCAACG